GTCGTCACCTTCATGGCCGTCAAGAGCCCCCCTCTTATACTAGAAACCATAGCCCACATGTCTTCAGAGCTTAGATAATGTATGGGGTATTCTTGGTATATCCGGCTAGCATAGACCTGAACAGACTTTGTATAAGGGGTTTCGTATTATTGGTTGCATTGCCTCGAGCCAACTAGGAGCAGAAATCCATTACAAAGCCTTTATGGAAGGCTAGGCTGGGAACCTAGCTCTAGTTTCAGCTGTTGGAGTTCGGGATTCAACGACTGCGCGCACAAATTCAGCAGATGATCCTCTGGCAGAATCGAGTTTGTGTTTGCTTTTATAGCCGAAAACCTGTAAAGTTCTGATTTGGATTTCAGAGCTTGCCTTACGGGTTGAAAGAACAAGTCCTGATTGTGCAGTCGTGTCGGTTTGAGTGACGAGGCTGTGCCAGAGATCGCGAGGAGCCCTCCAGTATACGGGCCGTAATAATTCGAACAGGGATTCGCGGTACATTTTAAAGACAAATGTGGAATAGCATTGGCATTTGTCTGCATTATACCGAAGACCGCCAGAAGCCCCCTACGTGGGGTTGTCACTTCTCGCGGGCATGCAGAAATCCGCGCAGCACCTGTTTCGTCGATGCTTGCCATCAGCTGTCGGCACATCGCACTGTCCGCTCTCATTCAAGCCAAAGCAGACCAAGTGACCATCTGATCTGATTGCCTTGGCTGACTTCTGAACCCCTCCTAAAAGTTAAACTTTTAGCTCCTTTATTATGGTTCATATAGAAACCCAAAAAGTTAAAGTCCTAAGAGCCAAGCAAAATAACGCCAAGTTGCACAGGTGTGATCTTTGCCTGCTGAGACTTCCACAACTACTCCCAGATCCGTCGGCACATCACATTGTCCGAAGGTGTTGTCTCCAAAGCAGACCAGTTGACCATCTGGTCTCACTGCGCAAGTGTGCAGGTAGCCTGCTGAAACTGCCACAACTGCTCCCAAATCCGTCGGCACAAAGTGGGCATTCAATCCAAAACAGACCAACTGACCATCTGATCTTAGAGCACAGGTATGATGGTAGCCTGCGGAGATGGCCACAACTGCTCCCAAATCTGTCGGCACATTGCATTGTCCTTTGGCATTCAGTCCAAAGCAGACAACCTGACCATCCGATCTTACTGAACAAGTGTGACGGTGGCCCGCTGAAACCGCTACAGCTGCCCCGACATTCGCCGGCACATCGCATTGCCCGTTGGCATTCAATCCAAAGCAGACCAACTGGCCATCTGATTTGACTGCACAGGTGTGCCGGTAGCCAGCTGAGATCGCCACAACTCCTCCTAAATCCGCTGGCACATCGCATTGTCCGTAGGTGTTATCTCCAAAGCAGACCAACTGACCATCGGATCTCACTGAACAAGTGTGACCATAGCCTGCTGAGACTGCCGCAACTGCTACCAAATCCGTCGGCACAGTGCATTGTTCTGTGGCGTTCCCTCCAAAGCAGACCAAATGTCCACTTGATCTCACTGCACAAGTGTGCATGTACCCTGCCGCGACTGCTTCTCCACAATCCGTCGGCACGTCGCATGCTGTATTGGCGTTCAGGTCAAGGCAGAACAACTGACCATATGGTTTCACTGCACCAACACACCTTTTGCCGAGAGACGCTCCAGACTTGTAGCCATCCACAAAGAATCGCTTGCTGCAGGCCAGCCGCAGTACATGGTTCATATTAACTACTCATTTTTGGAGAGTTTAGGGTTAGGGGTTACGGTTTGGGGCTTAGGGTTTAGGTGTTAGGAAAGGTTCAGGATGTAGGGTTTAGAATAGAAACACTAAGCCCTAAACCCCTCTTACACAGGTTCGGGGACAAGTTACCTGGGTGATAGGTTGGCAAGCACTGCCGGAGGGGAAGGCAAGTTTCAGAGCCCCTCTGGAAACATACATTGCCTCAGCAATACATGATACGCTTCTTGCAGTGGCGTTTTACTTGGGGGCTGAGCACCCTCCACAAAAGCTTACCCTTTTGAATTATAGTAGGATTATATAAGCCCCAAAAAGTTAAAGGTTAACTACTCAGCCCCTTAGTTTAGGGCCTTCTAGGGATAAGGAGGCTTTGTGAGTAGAGTTTCGCTGGGAATATGTGCAGCATAATCGGTGAGAGGGACAAAATCTTGCGCTGTGTGAGCTGAATGACTGCAGTGCACAACTTAACCACGAGCCGTCAAGCAGGCGGGCCAGCATCAAGCATCAACTTCTGAACAACACCGCATTTCTGGGAAATACCCTAAACTCCAAACCCTACGCATACATCTTCAGGAGGAAACTACTTGGAAACTCGGAGACTTTAGCAACTCGCAGTTTAGGGTTATCTCTACAAGCAATACCCATATGGGTAGTTTTCTAAATTAGTGTCCGTTTTGGGGTCCCCAATATAGTACGGCACCCTTATGAAAAGGACCCCAAAAGGGACCCTAATTTAGCGAACTACCCATATCCCATCTGGCTCGTGCTGTTTTCCAGATCGAAACCGCATCTCCAAAGAAAACCCCCAAAACCTGAAGTCCAAGAAACAGCCTACCAATGCACCCTCAAGCAGGCACCTTGCCAGAAGACCCTGAGCACCTTAACGCCGCAATGTAGGGGCCTTAACAATTAGAAGAGGGTGTTGGGGTCAATTCGACTCTAATTATGATAAGGAACCCGCAAAACCCTATTCTAACTATTTAGGCCCCTACATTACACTCTGACCCCCGGGACCCCAAAGCACCATGAATATACGGGGCCTGAGTAGCTAGAATCGGGTTTTGGGGCATGTTGTAGCAAGAAGCCCTAAGGAACACTCTTGGAGCATATTCCGACCTGTACATCTTTCAGATAGGAAGGGTTTAGGGTTTAGGGTTTAGGGTTTAGGGTTTAGGGTTTAGGGTTTAGGGTTTAGGGTTTAGGTTAAGGGAAGCCCGACAGCCCTTGGCCGGAAGGACCACATGACCCTCAAAAGTAGGGGCCCTGCCCCGCGCCCTCATACTATGAACTCCTATATGGTATATAATTTTAGGGTTTAGGGTTTAGGGTTTAGGGTTCAGGGTTTAGGGTATGAACCTGGAACTCTTCTAGGGTTCATGCCGTCCTCAAGGCACTCTTTAGTGTAGAACACCAACAACAGAATAGGCGTGGCAAGACGTAAGATTAGCCAAAGGTGCCATTCACTCTGCACCCTAGATCCCAAAGAGTCCTAAGTACGATTATGGGGTAACTTACCCCAACCATAATAATAATTCCTACTACGGAACCCCAGCTTTCTGCTATATAACTACTTAGGACCCCTTGGGTGAACACTAAACTCCAAACCCCCAGACACTTATAGCCCTTAAAGGAACCCTTAAACTACTTAGCCCCTGGTTGTGCCCCTCCCGCCAGGAAGGGGAGCTTGATGCCCAAAGTCTTCGAGGGATCCGCGGGGCAGGTGATGTAAGTCGTGCTCACATTCGTGCCCATGATCTCCTGGTTTAGGGTTGAGGCTGTTTCTTGAAGTGTAGTAGCCCCATTCACTCCGTCAAGGTGTTTTGGGTTTTTGGGCTGTAGATTTCACGACTCGCTCATACAGAAGGTCACTTTTCCTTAACCCCGTCCGAAACTCTAAACCCCAATTCCAAGCCTTTTAATGCCGTCGCCAAGCTTCTGCATGAGCCTTGTGAAACCCTAAACCCTAAACCCTAAACCCTAAACTGGGTTAGGGCCTTAAGCATGGAGACCCCGGTCTGTGATACTTACAGGAGTAGGGAACCCTAAGCAGTACTAGTTCTAATGCTTTCAGCCCCATATAATGGGCCCCTATACTTAGATGTCCAGTGACCTAAGGGAACTGAGGGTAACCTTTGGGAAAAGATAGCAATTACCATAATATACGGGCCCTAATAATTAGAATAGGGTTTTGGGGCCCACTATACTATACTTATAATAAGGAACCCCCGAAAATAGTATTGGTAATTACTTAGGCCCTTATATTACCATCCCCCCCAAATGGTTGAAACGTTGCCAATTCTACTCTTAGGTTGTAGATGTGGGTGGTTCTCTACATTAGGGTCCCTTCGTAGGTCCCCAAACTAGCACGGCACCTTTTTGAAAGGAGCCTAAATGGGACCTATTTTAAAGAATTACCATGCACATGATCTTGATAAGCCGTGACCCCAAGAGAAGCAAAGAAGGCTTTTGTCCCCAGCACCACAAAAAGGTGCCCTGTGCCGATCTGCCCATTCTGTCTTCGGGCCAAACGCGACACAACTTTTCTTTTTGTAGACCCTAAACTATCAACCCCAAACACTTTAACCCCTGTCTAAGCCCGAAACCCTTCACCCTAAACCCTACAAACTTTAACCCCTGCCTAAACCCTACAAAACTATGGCCCCTCTGTGCTCGGAACCCTAGACTGTCGGGATGATGGCCGCAAGGTCCGAAAGCCTCACACCAAAATCCGGGAAACTTACCCAAATCTTCCGAAATCCTTTCATTGATGACTATACCTTAAATGATCGCAGGATCCCTGACATGATCTATGGTATACTCTTCCATTAAAGGATTTCGGAAGGTCTGGGCAATCCTGAACCCATCTGAAGGCATTGCCCCTGCGAGCTTCGGCAAGGCACTCCACACAATTATACTGAAAGTGGTTTAAGGGAGTAGAGACAAAGCTCACTACAAGCAGCATTATCCCTAGTAGTCATTGCTTCTGATGGACGAAACGCTGTATTACCGTATGCCTTAAGATACCTTAAGTACGCTATGCCAGGGGAGTTACCTGTCTGTAGCCCAAGACCCTACAAAAATTGTAGGTTATGAATGGTAGGGTATCGGATCCCACAAAAAGTGCCTGAACCCTCAATAAACCCTAAACCCCAAAACCTTTTTAGTAATTACCTTTGTAGAACCCTTCAAGAAATCTTGTAAGGAACCCTGACGTGGGAGCCTTAAGCATTGGATTCGGGTTTTGGGGGATGTTAGAACATAATCATAGAAAGGAACCCCTAGAAAATAGTATTGGTATTTATCTAAGCCCCTACATTACACCCTAAACCCTAAACCCTAAACCCTAAACTCTAAATCCTAAAGCCCTAAACCCTAAAAAACGCTAAACCCTACATTACACCCTACACTTAGTTGCTGAGTTCATAAGCCCCAAAAAGTATACACTTTCAGTTCTATAAGGGATCATAGTATCCCAAAAAGTGTAAAGTGTACTCACTCAGCTTCTAAGTATACCGTCGAATCCTCAGCCAAGGCTCCAGGACGCTGGACTGGATGTCGGAATCTGTGAGCCGCTTGATGTGGCCATTGCGCACCTGGCATGTGTTTGGGGAATTTAGGGTTTAGGGTTTAGGGCTTAGGGTTTAGAGTTTAGGGTTTAGGGTCTAGAGTTTAGGGTTTAGGGTTTAGGGTTTGTTTTAGGATTTAGGGTCCACATGGCGCATCTAGCACGTCTTTGGGGAATTTAGGGCTTATAGGTTTTAGCACTGGGGTTTGGGGAAAGAGGTTTTTACGATTTAGGGGTTTAGCGATTGGCGTTTAGACTTTCTAAACACCCGTATGAAACCCCCTGTTAGAGTCGGCCAAACCTGTATGAACCCCAGGGTAGAGTCGTCTACAGACAGCATATCATTCCCAACAACGGTAGGGTTAGGAAGGGTTGAAGTTTCAGGGCTTATATCGATCGTTTTGGGCTTAGGTGTAAGCAAAAAGCTTGAAGCAACCGCACTTTGGGTATGTTATCGCAGTACAAAGGAACTGAGGAAGTGTAAGGAAATACTTATCAGTCGAATTCCTGGAGACCTAAGCCACCAAACCCTAAACCCGAAGCCCTAAAATCATGACGAAACCACGAACAATATGTATTAGGAACCCAGAGCGCCCCACACACCTTATAGTTCAGGGCTTCAGGTAGGGCTTTAGAAGGGCTTCTGAAAGCATTTGTATCGGCTTCGTTGGGTTAAGCATCATACTACTAGTACTACCACCACCAACACGACGACGACTACTACTACTGACACTACAACAACAACAACAACAACTACTACTACTACTACTACTACTACTACTGCGAACTTACCGAAGACCCCGGTATGCTTTATTCACACCCTCTGACCCTAAAGATTCCTTTAAGGTTTAGGGTTAGGGTGGTCTGGGGGCTTGGGGTTTAGGGAACCGCCTTACTTTCTTGCTTCCTCGGCACGTCCTCGCAACAGTAAGCCCTACACAAACCTTCGGCATAACTCATCAAAGCTTGAAGACATACACCTGAAAGCACACCACCAAGGCTTCTTGACGCAGAGTTGACTGAACCTACACTTGGAGGGTCGAAGGACTTAGTAAGTAGGTAACAAGCAGAGTTATAAGTGCCCTAAGTGGGATCTTAATTGGGGTTATGGTACTTATAACTCTGTAAAAGTACCTACTTACTAAGTCCCCCGACCCTCCAAACAACCATACAACATCCGAAACGCTACAATCCCACGCTCCCCTGAATCCGCCAACTCCTACACCCCAAACCCCTAAACCCCAAGCCCCCGAGCCCCCAAACCATTCAACTAACCCCAAAGCCCCTAAACCCCAAACCATGAACCCTCATATCCTCGGTCATGAGTCTACTGTACTGTTGGGTCCATGATAGTTAAACTAAGGTTTTGGTGTAACTTGAAACTATAGTTTTAAAAGAGGAATCCTGAGGAGTAATATTGGCGTATATGAAAATATAGTTATAAACGTAAGGGTTTAGGATTTAGGGTTTAGGGTTTAAGGTTTAAGTAATAATCCGGAACAATATTGTTAATGAGTCACTCCCCTAGATTACTGCATGTCCCCTTTCATCCCTCATGCAAACACTTCCCTGGGTGTCGGAATAGGGTTAGCCTAGCCCTAAACCCTGAACCCTAAACCCTAAACTCTACATTACAAGGTCTAGTTACTAAGTCCGAAAAGTCTCCACGCAGAGCCCTATAATAACCCAGTGCCCAACAAAACTCTAGACAACTTCACAACGAAACCCGCCACCTAACCCTGCTATAGCGGCCTCAATGCTTCGAGTCGGGATAAGAAAGGTATGTTAAGTTAAACTATCCCAAAATTACATCGGCAGAGACACAAAGGGTACACGTCTACGAATAAAACAGCCCTGTAGAGCCCTTAAGCTGGCGCCTTCTTGTCCCAGATCTGCAGTGGCTTCGAGCCAATCGAGTAGAGGACGGACAGGAAACCGGACTGATAGGTATTTTTGAACCTCGTTGGTTGCTTCTTGGAGGCTCGGTCCTTGAGGGTTTAGGGCTTTTCCCGGACTGATATGTATGTTGCTTCTACTAATGTAGGTGCTACTTACTACTGTTGCCAGAACAACCCTAAACTCTAAACCGTAAAACCGTTCTGATCTTCTTGTTCGGTGGAGACGTCTGTCCGGGTTTCAACCGAAGTTACAAGTGGGGCTCCAGGCCAGGGACTTGAAGAGTTGGTCTCGCGCTGTTGTAAACTATGCGGTTTCTCTGACGTCGGTGTCAGATTTTAGTAAGGGTCTTACTGTGAATGGGTCCTTGCTGGTAACAATTTTAAATTTTTGTTGTACTGCAAACCCAACAGGATTAAAAATGATACATTTCAAAATAGCTCTAACAGGCAGCCAGGGTCAGGGTCTATAACTTAAGGGGTGTGTGCTGTTTGTGGGTAGGGGCCTGTGGGATTTTATTTAGGGTCTGGCATCTCTTAGGGTTTAGGGTTCAGGGTTTAGTGTTTAGGGTTTCGGGGCTAGGGTTTAGGGTTTGCTTCGGTTAAAGTCAGGAGGCCGCCATATGAGTGCTACCAGTGCCGGGGAGTTGGGGTGTTCTTGAACGGAGCTTTGGACTGCACCAATATCGAAAAGAATTCATAAAGGGCTTCTTGATGAGGTATTCGGGTACGTTCCTAATTAATTAAGCTGTTTGGGCACTCTGACGAATTTTGAGGCCCCAACAATTGGCACTGGGTTTGCGGTATATCGCAGTATAGGCTGCGCAAATGTACAAGAACAATATCTCCAATTATCCCGACCTCTATCAACATGTCTAAACATTTCTGGTAAACACTGGATAGAAATCTTATGGGACCCGTATAAGAACTCGTATAGAAGGTAAAAAAACTAATTATTCCGACTGCCTGCCTTCAGGACCAAAATGACCCTCAACATTTGGGGCCATATACTCTTATGCTATACATCCCTATATGGTACATGAGCCTTACACCCTTTTACAGTTCATCTCGGCCTTAAGATACCCCAAAACCCCGAAACCCCTAAACCCTAAACCCTAAACCCTAAACCCCAAATCCCCGAAACCCTAAAACCCATGTTACTTCCATAGAACCCTGGAAGGAACCCTTTACGGAAACCCTTTCAGAGTCCATTTCGTGCTTTACGCTTAGCATCGAAATCGCCCAAAAGGGTTTAGGGTTTAGGGTTTAGGGTTTAGGGTCTTTGGGCCCAAAAACCTTAAAGTATGAGTCCTGTGAGGGTAAGGGTAAAGCACACCTCAGGGATGAAATGAAGTCTAAAAGGATTCCAAGGACTCGTCTTGTAAGGTTTTTTGGGCCCAAAGACCCTATTGAAAAAGGCTTTCGGGCCATTTTGATACCCTAAGCCCTAAACCCTAGCAAAAACCCTAAACCCAAAACCCTAAAGCCCTAAGCCCTAA